TTGATTTTCTTATAGTCCATCACAACCTACAAAAATTCTTTACTTTCTTGGGGCCAAGATAATGGTCAATGGAAAGAACCTTGTAAAAATATCCATTTTAATATCCATAAAAATATCCGTTTTAATAGTGAAGGAATTTCACAAAATTAAAATTTTTATACAAAATATGTAATTAAAATTACAAACAAGCTAGTATTCTTATATAGGTTCTCTAATAAGATGCAAAACAATAGGAATTTTACTACTACCATCTTTTCGCTTTGCAAAGTTCATCGAGTCAAAGGTTTCAGCTCAACAATTTCACTAGGGTGACAAAACTAAAAGCAATACCTACGTTCATCAGACTCATGAGCAGTAAAGAATTAAAAACAAGTTTGAGAAACAAGTGTAATCTATACAACTTGTACATATTTCCATGGCTATTTTCTCTCAATGTTTAGTGTCATCCAAAAGCACATAAATCACAGATTTCTCAATAAATGTTCAATGAATTTATTCAGAGTAATACACAGTATCATAATGCATAAATCAAGTAACTCAAATTGATAAGATGTGGATGTATGTAACACATAATTATATTAAGCAAAAAAGCAGAGATAATACATGAAAAAATTTTAGAAAACCTCAGATGAAAAATGCAAACATTTGACATTACCAAAAAAACTTGCATCCCTAACTTATGCACAAAAATTTCAATGCAATGGGATGCTCTTAAGATAATAATTAATTACAGGTTAATAGAAAAAATTACACACCTCCATAAATATGATCTTTATGGGATTCAGATCTCTAGGAATAGAATGCCATTACATAACAAAACACTTGCTATGCTGTCTATGCTGTCTTATAACTACTCTATTAATTTACATCAGGTCAGTTGCTGGGCCAATATATTTACTCAGCAATTTCAGTTTCAAGAAATTCATCAATTAAGTTTGCTTTGCACAGACATCATCCATAAAGAGAAAAATCCACATGTACCTTAAGGTTGTAGGTTTTATCTTGATATTTTTGAAGGAACCTTATTTTGCCTTATGCAAGGTTGTAGCTTTTATCCTGTTAGTTTTTAAAGAACATAATTTATATGCCAAACACATACAGGGAAACATCTATTTATCATTATTCCTCCCCATACCATTCCATCTGCAGTGGCATAACAAACATATCTTCTAATACTGGTGAAAATATTTCCCATTCCAAGCTTCTCTACAAATGTGAATGTGCTAACAGTTAGATACTAATTCATCAATGAAAAGAACACGGGTCGAACATTGTAGACTTTAGCTCTGATGCTTCCCACAGCAAGCACTTTTTTGCTATAATGTTCTAAATTTGAAATGCTCGCTTTTTGGCATAAAGTCCTTTACCATTCAGTTTTCTATACACAGTTCCTGTGATATGAATACCAAGGACAGTTTCAGCCCTAAACTCAATCACCTAGTAGTCAAGATGTTGTTGGAAAGAGCAAGAAGAAACCAAAATTCAGTCTTCTACAATGATCCTGTTCTACCTTCTTTCTTCAAATTACTTCCAGAATGTAATGACTGCCTTGAAATATACAGGCATTCTTGTCAGCTTCATAATTGCCAACCATACTGACAGTTCTACATCTTAAAGATTCTTCCTAATGACACTTTTGTATACAATTCTCCAAAAATAAAATGCACTTTTGATTTCATAAATGGCAAAGTCAGATACTTCACAGAAAGTGCAAAGACATCATACCATAATCAGTTTTTCAGAAACAGACTGATCAAATCGAATTGGATAATGATAATTATATTTACATTTTGCTAATGCCTTGCTCACCCCAAAAATAAATCAGATTAATAGGCTACTTCATATAATAATTTTTTTTAATATGTCCCAATTTTCAACACCAAAATTTCCATAAATACATTTTTCCATAGGTACTTAGCTCATGCAGTACATAAAAATGTTAAACTCATAAAACTGAATTACTAGATGACTGAGTTTTCTGAAATCTACCATTTACTTCAGAGCTGACAGATTACAATTAGTCTAATTTCCAAGCCAAGTCTTGCATCAAGTGTTTAAGCCTACTTTCCAAGCCAAGTCTTGCATCAAGTGTTTGAGCCTACTTTCCAAACCAAGTCCATATTTGGAACAAATTCAAAAATAATTCACTGGATATTATTTCAGTTATGACGGACTTAAATGCTTTTATTATCTGAACTGTTTCATTTATCAAGTAGAAGTACTGCAAATGATTCTGTCTATTATTTACTACTGTTGAATACCATCAGTACTACAACATTTCTGCATATGATGGAATAGATGAATATGCTACTTATATGATATGATGATACAGTTAATTTTTCCCCTAAAACACAGATTAAATGAACAAATAAAAGTGAAATACCTGTGAAATACCTGCAAATTACCCCTCCTGCCACAAATAGATTCTATTATGAAACATTAGAAATTTCATTGAATTCATTTTGAATTTGGTGCAAAAAATATTATTTTAACTATCAGGATTTTAGAAGGTACTTACATATTTGCACAACCATCTTAGCATAATTTGGTGATTGTCTTATAAAAGAAAAATTATGATTTGCAACTGTTTTCCCCCAAAAATTTATTACATGCATATTTTATATTTTAATTACCTACTAATTTAAAAAAATTAATCACTAAACATACTCACAAGTAGATTTCTGTTTTCATTGTGGTGAAAATTTTGCAGAGATTATTTTAGAAACTAATAAAAATCAACTGTTCACTCTGATGATTTTGGGACAAAATACTGTATTCCATAGGATATTATACCACTTCTTCCACAGCGGGAAAATCCCAAAAACACATATTTTAAAATTAAGACAAAATATGTCATAACTTGCCCCCATAAAAGCTACTGGAACTTTAAATACAACAAAAAGAATGTATACAAAAAAGGCAACATTACTTGTTAAAACTGAAGAATTGTTATGCATATGGTTTTTATAGTTTGATGTCTTCTCGAAATCAGACAGATTCTACTAAGGTGGTTGTGCTAATAAATAAATAGCTTATAGTACTACTTTTGTCATCAATTTAACTATTATCTTGGGTTATTGAGCTCATTCGCCCTCTGACTTCTTGACATACGAGAGACAACACACGAGGTTTACAAAACTGGCACTAAGGTAAGATTGAGGAAATGACTATTGGATTATAACAAAGCCTACTAGAGTGTGCATGACACTGAAAAAAGATCTTTTATGAAGGACTTTCTGTAGAAAAGTGACCCATGCATGAGGAAACCCAAAGCCAGCTTATTAACCTACTAGTATTGGAACCTTTGGAAAATTAAAGTTTCATAGTTTACTTGGTTCAGCCTAATTTAAAGATTAAGTATCTCCCCTATTAAGCTTTAAAATAATAGAGATACTTTATACTTGAGTTTATGCATTAATGTGTTACTTTTTAAAAAGTAACACATTAATGTATAAACTCAATATGCAGCTGTTGGAATTGTTTCAGTTTTTCCTTCCTTTTAGCAAGCTGTCCAAGATAATAAATATAAAAAATGTGTTCAACAACATTTATCGGCAAAAAAGTCAATCCTTTTTCCCTGCTACATTTGAGAGGTGATAGGTGCATTTCATAATTTGGAAATACGAGTTTTCTTTTTCTAAGATGCCTGCAATATCAGTCTTCAAATCTGAAATTCCTGGTGCATTCCTTGTAGAGCATTAAGTGCTAAGTAATGATCCTGAAGGATTGCACTTCCCTTTAAAGTTTTAATAATTAGTTGTGCTATTATTAAAGGTCTGTCGAATCTCTTCTAAAGTGGGATCAGAAAGTAAACTACAGTCAATTTCTGAAGACTCTGGATTAAAAAAAAGAAACAATTTGATACAGTTTTGCATCAGTATTATTGCTTCTCACCATAGAGAAGTAGAATGGAACTGTTTTAATGCAATCAATAACTGAAGAATTATTTTTCATACCAATTTCTTGAATCCATTTCTTAACAATCTCACTGACGGGAAACATTTTTCTAAAAAAGCTACATGATTCGATACATTCAGTGGCAGGTTGTGCTCCAGTAAAAAGACAGAAAACAGGTGTTTCGCATGACTAACTTTTTGGCTTTTTGTTTCCACAAAAAGATTTAATTTTTTTCCAGTACAACTTGCATTGCCCTTGTGTATGCACATGTTTCAGATTATCAGCCCTTCCACTGTGCGAAATCAGAAAATTGCAATAACAAATGATACACATTGCAATATTACATTTCCTTGACGAAATACTAGCAGGAAAGAGATCTGTATACGATTTTTGAAAAGTACATGAGTAATTGTTATTTTTCATAGACATAACTAAGACAGAAGGTCACAGTTTCTGGGAAGAACATGAAAATTTGCTTGCTGGTGAGACGAATGAAATAAACAACCTTGATCTCGCTTGAACCTCGATTTGTGCTCATTGGTTAATGTAAGGCACATGAAAAACAGCGGCACTTGATTCTCACTGGAGAACTGAAACATCATGTTTTCAGACATGTGTTTCGGATTCCACACGCAAAGCAGAAACCCCCATATCACAGTGATGAAACTTCTTTTTTTTTTTATGTGCATCTAGAGAAAAAGTACTTTCAGATACCCAAAAATCACATTTTGGGGGACAAATAATTAAGCCAAGCTACATAAAAATCATGAGAAATTTTAAGAATAAGGAAAAGTCACAAGAAATCGGGTTGACAGGAGTATGGTCAGAAATCTGAAGAGTTGGCAAATCTGCAATACATAAGAATTACACTTTTTTTTTAAGATACAACATATGATACTGCAAACACACATCTACAACACTTGAATGTATAACAAACATAATTTCAGTGTAAATGCAATAAATATTTATCAAAATAAAAACACAACAATCATTCTTAGAAAAATAAATCATTTGTCAGTCTCAAGAACACAGAAGAATGACAATTAGTCATTGATGTTTCAGGTCATTAACAAAATTATACAGATAAAGAGGTAATAACTAACCTTTATACAAAGGGGTTCATTAAAAAGAGATTTAAATAAAACATATTTGTTCTCCCACAACTGCTCTCCATTTCTCGCAACTCTGCCACGAGTCTTCCATTTCTGATCTCCATGCTTAAGAACAACTTCAAATACATCACCAGAACAAATTCTAGCAAAACCTTGGATACCTGAAATGTGAAGAAAAGAAATGGCTATTGTGATATTGGGAGTAGAAATAAGTCTTGCCATTTGGCAAAAATTGGTGCGACCAGTAAGTTATGGTTAAAATTGTCTGATATAAAACGTCACATTGTAAAGTAGGACATCTGCTATTGTAAGGTTGGACATCTGCTAACAACACAATCTTGAAACATTAGCGATTCTGTATGAGAAATTGTCAAGTCTTGAGCCAGATGAGTGTCACCAGTGAGAACTTTTGATTTATTTCTTTAATTTGAAGGAATCTGCAGCAAGGACACTTTGATTGCTTGTAGAAACATATGAAGCAGTTGCCTTACGTGAGACAAGTTGTTGTGAGTGGTTCAAAAGTTTAAGAATGATGAATTTGACATCAAAGACAAAAAACATAATGGAAGGATGTAAGTATATGAAGATGTGGAATTGTAGCATTACTGGATGAACATTTGTGCAAAACACAAGTACACATTGTACTTACAGTGAGCGTAGAAATTATCTGTACAAGAGTGGTTTGATGCACTAACTGTACCGAAACTTCTTCAAAAGGCAATAACTAATAAAAAATGTTTTACCAAATATGACTGCAAAAGACTGGAAAAGATATTGAATTAGCTTTAAAATATATGGGAAACTAATAACTAAGGATTTATTGGTGCTCAAAAAGTAATCATACATTCAAACAAATGCTAAATGTTGGTAGCATTTTCTAATTTGTTTAGTCAATTTTTCGTTGATAACTGACCATGATTATCTTGTGGGTTATATAAAATGACCAGCTGTAACTTAAATGTGATAAGAAATGTAAATTTTAATACAGTAGTCTCCGGATTATCTGCGGAGTGGATTATCTGCGCATGCCCCACAGTTTTTTTTTTTTTTTTTTTTTTTTTTTGTACAAGCATAAAGCGAAGAAAATAAAAATGTTCACAAAACTGAGTGAAACTTTAAATTTGCTAACATCATGCTTATTTATGGCAAAAATATCCCAGGCCTTCTCGGAACCTTGCTCTCGGATGAGTAAGTGATTTCTTCTCACCCTTGGGCAGTGCCGCTCCACCGCCCTATCTCATCTTAATCTTACTGACACGTCCACCATTGTTAGTTTCAGCCTGATAGTGTTTGCGAACCGATCGGAGTTAATTTCTTATCTTTTATTGCATTCAGCGCTTGTCCTTTTTGGTTTTGTGTTTTTCGTTACCGATTTAAAATGTCAGGAAAACGAAAGAAGGTTGTGTTGACAACTGCGCAAAAACTAGAATTAATTTTCAAAGTAGCAAATGACGCTACAAAGCCGCAGATGGAATTAGATTACGAAATCACGGAAACAACAGTGCGTGACATTCTAAAGCAAAAAGACAAACTGGTGAACTTTGCTTCAATGTCGGACAGTGCTTTTGCAATGTAAACGTGAAAAACTATGAAGGGTTCTAACTTTGATGAGCTAGACACGGCATTGACAGAGTGGTTAGCTCAAGTTCGAAAAGAGGGTACTCCTGTAAATGGTTTTAGGCAAAAACCTTTCTTGAGTTGTTAGGCCTGAAAGGAAATTTTGATGCGTCTTCTGACTGGTAGACTCGTTTTAAGCAGCGACATGGAATTCGAGAAATTGGACTTCATGGGGAGAAACTTAGTGGTGACCAACAAGCAGCCGACGATTTCCACCATGAATTTGATGAATTTGTTTGCAAAAAAGAGCTATCTTTTGAACACATTTACAATGCTGACGATTCGGGACTTTTGTGGAAATGTCTGCCCACTCGCACTTTAGCATTTGAAAGCGAAAGTAAAGTGGCGGTCATAAAAGCAGCAAGGAAAGGATCACTATCATGTCTTGCAATAACACTACCGGTGGATATAAACTTAGAATTGTTGTCATTGGAAAGCCAAAACAAATGAAATCTTTCAAAGGCACAAGGATAGAAAATTTGCCCGTTGATTACTTTAACCAAAAAAAAAAAAGGCTAGATGAACCGAAACATTTTTCAAGAATGGTTCGAAAAAATCTTTGTTCTTCAAGTGCTTAAACATCTTAAATCGAAAAACCTGCCTGAAAAAGCTGTGCTATTGATCGACAACTCGCCTTTTCACCCAGCAACAAGCGTGCTAAAGTTTTCTGATGGACAAATTTTTGCAAAGTTTCTCCCCTCCCCCCAACGTTACTGCGCTAACCCCACCCATGGACCAAGGATTCATTGTGCAACAATGAAGAGAACATACCGAACCAAGCTGCTAATGACAAAATTGAAGAAAGTTACGATCTGAAAGAGTTTTGGAAACACTACACAATCTTTTAAAGCATCTACGATATTGCATCTGCATGGGACTCAGCAAAACCTTCAACCCTCATAAAATCATGGAGACAACTCATGCCTAATGTTGAAGCCAACAACAACCTAACCCCTTTGAGTTGTGAAGAAGATAATAAAGATGTAGACATGCCTACGGCAACGCTTGTCGATATGGTGAAAACAGTTCCGGGTGGTGAGAACGTCGATGCTGAAAACATTAACGAGTGGCTGGAGTGTGACGTCTACGAACCTGGCTTCGAATGCTTGACAGATGACGAAATTGTGAAGAAAGCAAGGGGAGAGACCGAAAATGAAGGACAGCGATGTGAAGGGGAAGAAAACCCACTGTGCAGATGTGGAAGACTCACGAAGCGGCTTTGCAACAAGTCGACGGACTGCTGGGCTATTTGGAAGAACAAGACAACGAACGCGGAGTTGGCCGAGAAATTTATGCTACGAAAAATGCAATCTCGGATCAAGAGAAAATGCTTCCAAAGCAAACACAAATGACAGATTTCTCCAAAAAGGTGTAGATTTACAGTTATGCTTTTGTAATTACATAATACATTACAGTATTAAAACTGTACATGTGTATTATTTTTTCTGTGTATCCTTGACGCCTCTCGTAAGCACAAAGCAGTTTTCTGTTTTCATTAACAAAATGCATTTTAGGTTAGTTTTGAGTGATATACTAAAAAGTTAAGCATTAGTTAAACATTTCCTGCTGTTTATTTTACGTTTTATTGTACATAAAACGATTTTTCAAAGTTGGAATGACTGTTTTCTCTTTTGCTATACCTGTTTTTAGCTTTTTTCGGATTATCTGAGATTTTTGTCATCGGCGGCGGCCACGCCACCCAATTCCGCGGATAATCGAGAGTGTACTGTATGTGTCATAAAGGTAATGAAACGAGCATTTCCGAAAGACAATTAAACTTAAAGCAGTAAATCGTACAATGTAAAGGCAGTAAATCGTACAATGAAATTTCTGTTTCAGTCGGCACACCAGGTTCAACTGTGCAGTCAATTATTCAAAGTTTATTACCTCTGGAACAGTGCAAAAGTGCTCATTCAGAATGACCATACCTACTTACATCTGTTAACAGACAATTTTTGGCTCACTCTTTGAAGATAAACCCAAAAGAAAGTGCTCCTAAGCTAACAGCAGAATTGTGAAATACGAGAAGAGCGGTTCTGTAAGTACAAGTCAAAATGCATACAGAAAGTAACGTTTCCATGGCCATGTTGCATGATGAAAATTCTCTGTGAGTGACAGCAATTGAAAGTTATGATTATCCTTCGCCAAAAAATATGTGAAAGAACGTTCAGAGTTCTAGAAAAACATTACTTTTTCGAATGAATGTAAATTCAATGTTCTTGGATCAGACAGGAGGCTAATGGTGTGGGAGAAACAAAATGCAGAAATGCATCCAATGAATTTACTACCAAAAGAAACACCGAGATCAAGTCGGTTTATGATAGTATGAGTGCTTCCGCGGTTGGCAATTTTGTCATCAATAATGACATTATAAGCCACTTCCTATACATTGATATTTTGAGTGAGTGAGTGAGTGAGTGAGTGAGTGATTATGGCGCAAAACCAGAGATGATTATGACGCGCCAAACAAAAGATGAGATGATTACAATTGATGACATTAAAATTCAATAAATAAAAACAAGTAGATAAATGTACCAAATCCAGAGGATGAAGTCATATAAACACAAGTTAAAAGCACATATTAAAATTCAAGAGACAGTCTTCAAAACAAATTACATTTGGTAATAAAAGCCAATATCTTTTAAATAATAAAATAAATTAAATTGACCTCTCTTCCGATTAAACGGTCGAGAGGTAAGTCACAGCTATTAAAATATTTCTGGCGAAGACTATTAAAACATGGACACTCAATTAAAATATGACGAACAGATAAACAAACATTACAGTTAAAACAAACAGGCTCATTTTTCAGCTTTTAAAAGGTAGTTATGTGTCACTCTAGTGTGACCAATTCTGAGGCGAGTCAAAAGAACTTCCTCCTTACGATTTTTGGTTAATTCCCAGTGCTCAATTCTAGGTTTTACATGTCTTAATTTATTTTGAAGCTGAACATCCCAAAGTTGTTGCCATTTTTTTCGGATCTTTTGTTTCACAACACAACAAATGTCTGCAAAAGGGATGAGACGACTGGACAGTTCAACAGCACATTTTGCTGTGATATCTGCCAGCTCATTCCCTTTTATTCCCACATGCCCGGGAACCCAGCAGTACAGGATATCATACCCACGATTCATTAAGTTTATATGTATTTTGAGAATATCCACTATTACTGGATTTTGAGTATTAGGAAAAGCTTCTATTGATTTAAGAGCACTATACGAATCTGTATAAATTATAAACTTTTTGTAGCAGAGCCTTGAGATGTATAAAAGACTATAATATATCGCAGTTAATTCGGATGTTAAGACAGAGAAAGCATTGTGCAAGCGTCTGCCCTCCATGTGGTCTTTAATTACATATGCCATCCCCACATGATCTTTTGACTTGGACCCATCTGTATAAACTGGAAGATAACTGCTATATTTGTTCCTGTGCTCAGCGAAGAGTTGTCTGTATATAATCTCGTTAGTGCTTGCCTTCACATGATACTTAAAAACATCAAGAAGCTGAATCCGTGCATTTTCCCAAGGTGGGATTTCAAAAT